AAGCATGCATGATACCTAAGTACTGAGTTGTTTACAGAGTGCGGTTTTTTCCGGTGGCTAAAAAGACGCTCATTCAAAAGCCGGTACACTGGTGTGCGGATTAGGCTACCTGATAACTAATAGTGCAACGCTAGTTAAGTCATCTTTAAAGACTGCAACCACATTTCAAATTTTGATTAGTTTTTTTTTTTAATTCCCATGGGGGTGGAGGGGAGGGGTGTATTTTCAGTGGGAGCCCGGACTGCCACAGTCGAAAGTACTCACGTGCCTGGCTTTGCACAGGGTTACGTGTGTTTCTTCATGAGGAGGATTGTTGCCGGGACTTGCATAATTACAAGTACAGAACATAACTTAACAACACTGCTTCATACTTGGCTACAACGCGAAACTTGGCAAGGGTTCGGGCAACAAAAGACGCGCATATGGGCGTGCTGGAGTTACAGGGGGGGGGGAAGGCATGCGGGACGGAGGCTGTTGAGGACCAGTGGCTGTCTATGGAAAAGTCTGTTTGTGTGTGTGATGACAAAGAGTTGGATGGAACAGTGCCTATCCTTCATTGTCATGGTACTCGAAAATAAACGGGGTGGGGGGGGAGATGGAACCGGTGGCAACCTTTGGACGGGGGCACCCGATCTCAACAGTGTGAGTCCTCCTACTAATCAGACTTACGGCTTTGCGACTTGTGAAATCTGATTGTTGCGAAAGTTCAGAAGCAGTGTAGTCTCCTCGAAAGGATAGGTCGGACAGTAGAAGGGTGACTCCGGTCCGGGGTAACAGAGGAGCGATTTAGCAGTCAAAGAAATGGACTCCGAGCCGAGGTCTCCATTGTGTGTCGGGGAGACTGCTGGCCGGGACGAGGGTAAATACGACGGTGGGAAAGATAACGAGGTAAATGGAGGAGTTATTATTGCACAGCTTGTCTGGTGGAGTTGAGTGTTTGGCCTCTCAGCTTTCGCTACATAATGGGGTTAGTGTCCTGGCAGAACCTGAGTATAGCACTGGGACTGCCGATAGCGCGCGCTGTTCTAGTCCTCAGTGCCGAATATTTTTTCGATGCGCCGGAGAATGCTCTGGATGACAGTTCGAACTCGAGAGGGTTCTGTCTCTTCCGGTTCTTTCTTGCTAGCTGGTTTCTGCTGCTTCTTCTGGCTGAACATCGCCTTATTCTCCTCGTCGTCATCATTTGCTCGTGGGACGACAGGTTTTGCTGGCACAGGTTTGTTCACTGCGGGCTTTGGTTTAACTGAAAAAAAGAAAAGATCATATGCATATTGTAGTGTGAGGACTGAAGGTATCGTTTAAATACGCGCTACCACGCACAAATCCATGATAATATTCCTAGAAGCGGTAATGTCTGTTAAGTGTTACTGTTATTCGTAGTATAATTTCGCCTCAATTTAATCAAAAACTCGCCGAGGGCTAGTGGGTTGTCAGAGAGTAGAAAGTATGAACTCGAGTAGTTTTACACTGATGCCCGCCCCTTTAATCGCTGCAAATTCTTGAAAATGCTAGCCCTCCCCTCTCATTTCGGAAACTATATTTTGTTGTGCAATTAACAGTGATAAATGATATGCAAATTGATAAATCAACATC